AGAAGAAGAAGAAGAAGAAGAAGAAGAAGAAGAAGAAGAAGAAGAAGAAGAAGAAGAAGAAGAAGAAACTATAAGAAGTAGATTTTTTCTTTATAAATTACCCATTATCTATATTATTCTATTGTGGTAACATAAAACAGACTAAGACAAATGCATAGCTTAAACAACAAGCAAGTATTTCTCACAATTATGGAGCTATGGAAGTTTAAGATCAAATTGCCGACAGATCTAGATTCTAGTGAGGATCTACATCCTGATTTGTGTCCTCACATGGTTCAGACAATGATCATCTCTCTAGTCTCTTATAAGGGCACTAATCTCTCATGTGTGCTCCACACTCATGATCTAATTACCTCCCAAATGGCACTATCTCCTAGTCCTTCACAATGGAGATTAGGATTCAATGTATGAACTTGGGGGGACACAGACATTCAGTCCATAGCAGTGTTCTTTTAAATTACAGACTAATACTTGCTCAGTACAGATAAATAAAAAATAAAAAAGCTATGTGAGGGAATGGTCATACTACTACATATATCTGGAGATAATTCTTGCCTGTGACCCGCAGAGACAGACAAACTTGGTTTAAAAGAGCTGGCTGCAATATTAAACTAAGAAAGTGGCAAAAAATCACACAACTCACACACTTAAGTTTTTCAGATGGAGGTCTGAATGGATCTGTGATCTTAAGGGTCAGGTTCCACACTGGAAAGAGCCCTGAAATAGAGAGCAAGCCCAGAATCCTTTTATTTTATAGCAGGGGCATTGGAGGGGCATAAGGTTTCAAGGGTGGAGTCTTGCTTTGTGATGTCTCACGGTGAGGGGACTGATTGACATCTTGACAAGGCACACCCATCTCAGCTGCTGTGTGGGATCTTCCATAGAGGTGGAGGTGCACCTGCATCACAGGATGGCTCATCACAGGTAACCATATCAGTATCTCCATCTATCCATAGGTATCTACTACAAGAAATGTGTCCCATCATTCTTTCTTCTACACATATGTACTTAGATTTGTAGTTTATATGTATATTTAATTCATGCCTTGCTTTTTAAATAAACAATTCATGCTTATTCTCTTAAATGATCAAATACCATTTGCAAACATTATTCTTTAATGCCTATATACTATTCCACTTTATGTAATGCCATATCTTATTTATCAGTTCCCCAATTGGAGTGCATTTAGGTTGTTTTCAAGTGTTGGCTGTATTCAGGACATTTGCACACATCAGACTTTGTCCACATTTTTTATTATTAATATTTCGTTTCGAAGGGAGACTCTACTAAGTAGAATTTCTGGGAAAAATCTTCTCACCTAGAAATTCTTCTTTCCTTTGACTTTGGGTCACCATTATCTTCAAGTACCTCAGTTTCTCTTCCATAACAGGCTCTCAATGTGAACCTACAATCTTTCTTTTCTGCATATGGCTGGTCATTAAAGTCATAGGACCTAGATAGATGGGCTGGGGGAATTTAAATTCTGGAAAAAAATTATTTTTAAGTGGCAAAAATGAACTACTAATAAACATAAAGAAGTAGACATGAAAATTAGTAATGACCATTTAAAAAGTTCAATAAAATGTATAAGAATCATCTCCAAATTTCAGTGCTCTATTTCAAATGAAAATATTACAATGTTCATAAAAGCAGGCAAAAATAGAAAATGTTGGGGAACTTATCTAATGCAATTGGAGCAAAATGTTATGTTCCTTGAGAGAAAGAAGAAATATAGTCAAGCTGGTAATTCTACCCAATTATCAATTGGAATTTTAACACTATTTCAATTAAAATTCTAATAGCTTGCTTTATAAAACTTAATAAAATAAACCTAAAATTCATTTATAAAAATAAAGATAATACTGATAAAAAGAACAGCAGATGACAGCAAGCTTTACCTGAAATTTTATTTTATTATAATACCAAAATAGGCAAAATGGCATTTTAGGAGTTTGCTATAAAATATAAGCATAGGGGTCTGGGGTTGTGGCTCAGCAGCAGAGTACTCGCCTAGCATGTGCGAGCTACTGAGTTTGATTCTCAGCACCACATTAAAAAAATTAAAAAATAAAAATAAAAGTATTGTGTCCAACTACAACTAAAAAAATAAAATAAAATATAGGTATAGAACAACAGAACAGGACATTAATATAAGAGGCTCTGGTCTATTTATAAAACTTTGATATGTAAGAAATCAAGCAAAACAATGAACAGTGGAATCATTAGTCATAAATTGGTATCCCTGTGGCTAGATTCAGTAAGTAGAAAATTAATTTGAACCCACACTTTTCATGAAGGATATTAATTAATTACAAACTTTTTTTTTAAAAAAACAGAATACAGAAAGAGATTACTGAAGAAAGAAATTAGTAAACATTTTTCAAGCAGTAGAAGTACTTGCAAAGAAAAGCACATTTTTAACAAACTGTTACGATCAGGGACATCTTCTCTGCATGTCACTGAGTTAAAGGAGAGAATTTCCTGATCTGGAAAGTTCTGGATGTTGTCATGACTCTGGATCTGGGGCAGGTATAGCTGCTTATTTTCAGGTAGCTGTGGTAGATACAGAAGGATAAAGCATGCCTGTTCCCACTGGTGGGTCAAGCTCTCCAACCCAAGTATCTGAATCTGAAACACATCAGCCTCCAGATAAAGGTTCAAGACTTTTGTGTTCCAAAGTTAGTGGCCACTCTCCCCTGGAAGAGGAAAAAAATCAAAGAGGTCTGTGTCCTGCATATTTTAGGAGGCAGAGAGTAAGCTAGGGGTCTGCCTCTAGAAGGACCTTGGAGGAAATCTGTGCCATTGGATCTTAGGGCCAGGGTCAGAATGTTTCTACATTGTGCTGCTTATGCGATTCCAAGGGTGACCCTGAACCTTGGGAGCAGCCCTGATGGATGGTAGAGTTATGGTTGGAATAAAAGCTGGTCATCAGCAACCAGGACTGTCAAAGAAGCTGTGTATTTACTGGTTGTCTTACTGGAGAATTTGAGGGCAAGGAGGTGCCAACTATGCTGGAAAACCAACTGGATCATACCAAGTTGATCCCAGCTAATAATCCCATGCCTACCTGAGGACAGAACATCAACTCTTAAAAAGAAACATTAAAGGGAATAAATATACCCTGCACCATTGCCCAACTCAACACACATCTTTAAAAATGCAACAGATTCACCTTTAACAACAATATGCATTTTTGGAGACCTACCTTCAAGTGTTAGATGTATTCTTAACACTGTGTCTGTGCCACATAAGTTTATAAGAGGATATTTTATTTTAAATACACATAGGGAGCTGACCATATAAGGGAATCCTATGATGAAACCATTTGTAAAGCAAATAATCACTTCCTGAATAAATTTATCTCTAAATCTGGACTTTGGTATCCTAGATCAGATTCATCTGAAGGAAGTGCTCTACAAATTTATCCACCGTTCTAATTAGAATTCATCTGTATCCATGCAACCTCTAGAATATCACTTCTATAACAAGCCACCAAATGCATATGTTGTTAACGGTCCAATTCTATCAATAATTGTGGCCCACTTTTGCCTTTTATCCACACCTCAGAAAATATGGCTCTCTTCTTAGCTTGGGTTACTGTAACAAAATATCATGCACTGAGTGGCTTATAAAGAGCAGACATTTATTTCTCACAGTTCTGAAGAGTGGAAGTCCAAGATCCTGGTGCCAGCATGGGAGGGTTCTGGTGAGGGTCCCGCTCTGGGCCACAGACTCTGGTCTTATCCAGAGTGAGGTGAGTGGGTGAGGGACACTCTGGGGTGACTTTCAGAAGAGAGCCAATTCCATCATGAGGGCTCCACCCTCATGACTAGTCAGTTCCCAAGGGCCCACCTCCTAACACTATCACTTTAGGGGTTAGGATTTCAATGAATTTGGGGTGACACATTCAGTCCATAGTAATATCTTATGGAATCGAGGTATGTTTGGTTTCTTTGCAAAATCTTAGGACTTAATCCTCAAAAGAAGGATGCAAATGGCAATTAATATGTGCAAAGAGAGGCTGGGGTTGTGGCTCAGCAGTAGAGTGCTTGCCTAACATGTGTGAGGCCCTGGGTTTGATTCTCAGCACCGAATAAAAATAAATAAATAAAATAAAGGTATTGTGTCCAACTACAACAACAACCAAAAAATAAAATAAAAAATATTTTTAAAAATCAGGTTGTTTTTTTTTTTAAAAAAAAACTATGTGCAAAGAAACCCAACTTCTCCAACAATTAAAGAAATTAATGATTAAAGAAATGCAAAATAGCTGAAACAGGGTACCATTTTAACTCATTCTACTAGCAAGACATCCAATGTTAACCAGCTATGCAGAAAATGCCTAAATCTAAACAGACTTTTTTGGAGAACAATTTGGAAGTCTTCATACACCTTCTGACCTAGCAAATTCACTTCTAGAAATATTTTCTACATGTTTGTACATGTGCACAGAGATACATGTGTAGGGATATGCATTCTGGCACAGTTTGCAGAAACAGAAAAACTGGAACAACATGTATGTACAACAAAAGAAAACTAGTCAAGCAATTATACCCTGACTACAGATTATCATCCAAGGTTTATAGAGAACATAGGCCCTAGATTCAATCCCTAGCCCTACAAAAAGGACGGAAGGAACGAAGAGAGGAAGGAAAGAAAGAATCAAAATGCTAAAATTATATATGAAATACAATGATGGATGGATAGAAGTATTTAAATGTAAACACATATTAAGAGGTCGATACAGTAATACATATATGTTAACATGCTAAGTGGTTAAACTGAGAACTGACTGGGATGGGCAAGGTGGGCTCTGCTTTTTAATTCTCTTATATTGTTTGATTTCTCATAAATGGTCTATGTTTATATAATAATTGCATAAATTTCAATGTGTATGAAACTTCAGATGTGTCATATTATATTCATAAGGGAAAAATTTTTTACTATTGCAATATACAGAAGGTAACCCTAGGTGACATACACACCAGGTGGGAAACACGAGAAGTCCTCTCCTTGCCCCAGGTTCTCCATCACCTCAGTGGAAAAGCTAATCCTCAGCTCTGTGCAGTAAGGGTCTCCTGCAGAAAGGGGATCATGTTCAGTAAAGTTCCCACAGCGAAAGGATGCTCTTTTTCACCTTTATTGTCTCTTACCTTAAGAAATACAATCTGCAGGGGATCCCACTCCTGGCTACCTGGGGAGGCTGCTGTAGGCTGACCAGGGCTTCCAGATGAGGAGGAGCCTTGGGTGGTGTAGGAGAGAGGGGCTTAGCTCACTAAAATCCCAAACTCTCCTGCACTGGGGGTGGATGTGTGTGAGATGAGTGAGTTGTTGGCTTTCTTTACCTCTTTGTTCCCCTTTCTAGCTTCCGCTCCACTTCGCAGTTCACTGATTTTAAACTTCTCCAAGTTTCTCCACATCTTCAGACTTTCTAACCTTGTAGTCAAAGCCTTGCTTGAACAATCCTTTTTTGGGGACCCACCTTTCCCAAACTCTGCTCCATCTTTTCTTGCCTCATTTGTCATTAGTATACAGGGAGGGGACTGTAGCTGGTGTGACAGACTACTTCATAGTTGGCTGTAATAATTTGAGCAGAGACAGCTTCCTACACTCCCACATGGCTCCATGTTTATTTAAGCAACATGTTCAGCATCAAGATATTGGAAACACTAAGACTGGGGATCTGAAGCATTAACCTGTTCTGTGCACTGAAATTAAGATGTTCTCTTGGGTGACCTGGATGTCCCTGGTTGTGTCTGGGAGGGAGTCTACTCCATCTTTTGGGTCATGCCATACAGAAAGACCACGTTCCAAGGATCAGACCCACAGCCAAGTTCTTACATTTCAAGGTCCAATTATTTATTTATTTATTTATTTATTTTGCACCTCATTCTCTTTGTTTCTTTAATGAAGAGGGTTGGATTAGATGACCACTTCTACCTCTGATATCTTACAGTTTTAGAAAAAAAAAATTCCATAAAGGGTATGGCAAAGACTATTTAATCACATTAAAGTAGGGTGCAATTAACAATTTAATAACTAAATACCTAGATCCAAATCCCATTTCTTCCCTGCCTAGCTATGCCTTGGGCAGATTCTTGAAACTCTTTGAGTCTCACGTCTATAAAATACACGTAGGAATGGCAACCACCTCCTGAAATTGCCAAGAGTTGAAAAACAGAACTTTCCAGTGTCTTGAACAAATAAAACCTCTGTCACTTGGATAGGGCAGTGAGGATATGCACACATCGTGTATGGGTGGAATCTTAGAGATGAACTCACTTAAAATATTTATAGTTAAATAATATTTTTACCACTTGTAAAAGCTTGCTCACAAGCCCAAATGCATTAGATATGGAACAACACCTTGATAATGTGGGTAGGCATTAGCATCTCCATTACATGGGTAGACAACAATCAAGGCTCAGGGTGACAGCTATAGGGTCAGAAGAAAAGAAATTCTGAGGCCAGAATTTAGACATGTCATTCACTACTCATTTATTTATGAGTGTCCATTCTGTTTGGATATTGTGCTAAGTATAGGGGTGGAAAGATGAGTAAGGCCAGTTTGGAGGAAGAGATAATAGCTTCCCATGGCAGAACCACAAAGAGAAGCCACTAATAGAGGTACCTGTTTTGAGTAGAGACAGCTTCCTACACTCCCACCTCCATATTTATTTAAGCAACATGTTCAGCATCAAGATATTAGAAACACAGAGACTGGGGATCTGAAGATTAAACCTGTCCTGTGCTTCAACTTAGTTTCCCCATTTCTAAGATGGCAGACATAAGGTTTACCTGGGGTTCAGCAAAGCAGGGATAGATACTGTAAGACAACTTTGCTTGCCAATATGCAAAAGAACTTCCCAGGGACATCACTTTGGTGAGTTCACTGTAGTCCAGGCCAGAATTCTGAGCAGAAGGCCTTGATCCCCAATTTTATCAGTAATATGAGATCCAATTTTGGGGGGATGACCTCAAAAACAGCTAAGCACAAGAATATAATGGTGATCCCTGATATTACCTCATAATTCATGATAAGAAAAAAAATTACATAAGCCTGAAAATCCAGTGCATGGTCCCCCATGGGCCAATCAACATAGAAGACTAAAACAAATGAGTTTTGGAAACCGACTGTTTAATTGAATCAGAGTGATTTGCCTAATCCATTCATTTTTCCACAGAAAAGGTGCTCCACAGTGACTCACACCCTGACATTTGACTGAAGAACACATTCAGGATGATGCTGAAGGCAGACTATCATGGTAACTGCCTTTCTCTCAGTATTTGTTATCCATTATGTTCCTTTTTGTCTCTTGCCCTCCTGATTGGCACATTTTTTTTCAACACCACATCTGTGTCAACACCACCACTATGACCTCATTCACAGACTATTTTACCTATGCCAGAACGAATACTCTGCTTTCTAGAGAATTCACATTAGAACCAGTTCCTCCCCTGCAAGACAGTTCCTCAGGTGTTTCCGAAAATAGTAAGAGCACCTGCAGATGACAGCCTTTCCCATCACCGTCCAAGGTGATGGAAATTCAAAGTAAAATTCACCAATGTAGACACACATGCTCTGAAACTTACTCGGGGGGAAAAGGAGTTCTAGTTTCTAGGTCTTGTCTTGAGGGGAGAGAAGGGCAGGAGAAAGAAGGGCAGAAGAAGAACAGAAACTTTACTTCCAAGGCTCTTCCCATGTCTATCAGTTCAAAGTACTTAGTATGCCCAAACACCATACTTTACGGTATTGGTTTCTGAGTCCCAGTACTATATCCTTGCACTGATTCCTCCATGTATAAAACCATGTCTACTCAAGATAATCTCTAATTTTTAACATATCAATTAAAAATATCAGCTTTATTTTATTTTCCATGTTGGATGAAAGGGTCATCCAACTGGACTTGGGCCTCTGCAGGCAGCACCCTGTTGTAAAAAGACTGTGGAAATGACTTCCTCAAACTCTCCTTCAAAGTGTGCTTACTGAATCCCAGTCTTTTCCAGGTTTTAAGTTCTGGGCTAGGTCGCTGACCAATTCAAGTCTCAAGACCAGGATACCTCTAGCCCTCACTTTAAGCAGAGCATTGCATAAATACTTTAGCAAACTGGATTAAAGTTCTGCTGAAACAAATGCTGAGTAGTTTTAATTTGTGGAAAGGAAATGTTATTTGGAAAAAAAATATATTGCTCTGCAATATTTTTACACTGTGGTACAGCTCAGAGTGCTGGAGAAAGTACTTCAAGATCAAAAAGCCAGCCCCGTTATTAGTAATTCATTTGCTTTGGTACATGTGGGAGATGATGTGTTCCCTGCTCTGTGGTCTAGGTGGCCACTTCTTCTGCCAGCAGTGATTTGGAAGCACTTCTGAGCTAAGTGCCATGTGGGTCGCTGCAGGGTGGTGGAGAGGCCACCCTTCTGCTGGAACCTCTAGGGCAGCTGAGTGGCAGCTTCTGCTCTTTTTGGGTTAAGGCAGATTCCAGGCTCTGCTGACAACAAACAGTGTGTTCTGCAGGCAAGCCCCACTGAAAGCCCTTGGAAAGGCTCCAAGGAGCTCAGTGAGCACTTCTTAATGCAGTAACACTAATTCATTTTCAATGTAAGATTCATTTAGCCCAGTTCTTTCATTATCCACATGTCACATGAGGTCAGCGCTGTGGAGTTGCATAACACATAAGGGCCACAGGTTAAAATCAAGAGTGGATTCCTGTGCATTCTCAGTATATTCTGTGCCAGACTCTGGAAACGCACCCTCTAAAATGGGAGACATATAAACTAATCCGGTAATCTGTCAGTCAACGACATTTATTCAAAGTCTCTCCATTGTCAGTGGTGATGGAGAAGAACAATACCGTACCCTGCCTATTTTGGACACATAGTTACCCAATAAATACTTTTCATTGGTTGATTACTATATGAATCAAAGGTTGATTTTAAAAATTCACCATTTATCTTTAGATTGGGATGGCGACAACTGATCTCCTCCCACAATTGGTGTGCCCTTCTTTCCAGTACTTTGCTCAAGCTGGTGCTGAAATGAGCTTGCATTTTTCAGTACCAATTAATGCGACAGAGAAGTGACCAGGAGAGTGCTGCACAGCAAGAGAAACTGCATTTGAGAGATGAGCTTTTATATTTGCTGTAAGGCGCAGCAGGGTAGGAGATAATAGAAACTTGGATTTGGGAAATGACAGTGGAGCTGTTCCAGAAGCAGTCAGCTTTAGGATCAGCTCCACTGAGTAGGGCTAATATGCCTTGTGGTTGGGGTGGAGATGAGGTATGAGAAAGAGAACTAAAGATGACTCCCAAACTAAAGATCACTCTAGATTTGTAGCCTGCCCAACTAAAGAGAGGGTTGGAGCCTTAGCTAAGACAAGGAAGACAGAAGGAAATACTTTAGGTGTGAGTATGTATGGAGTGGAAATAAAGGGGCAAAGGAGACTGAGCTATTTTGATGATGGTGAACTTGAGATTCCTGCCTTCGTTTTGGTTTCCAGAAACAAATTTCAAAAGAAGAGTTTGAAGACAATGGTTTATTTGGGAAATGATGCAAGGAAGCACAGGGTAGGAAGCAAGGATAAGACAGGAAAGAGAAAACACCCAGTAGGGTATACATTATCAAACAACTGGATCCTCATGCTGAAACACAGTCTACAGCATGCATTTCAGAGTGGTCCCCTCTGAATGGCAAGGACACTGGAGAATGTACCAATGGTGATCCCATCAGTGATCCCAGGATTTTGACCACTTAGCAGTTTCACCAGCTGTACGCTGGAGTGCAGCAGGCTCTGACAGCCAGAGAAAATCCTCAAGGCAAAGAGGCAGGTACTGGCAACTGGAGTCAGGCTGGTGGGTGCTGAAATGGCAAGGGCAGAAGGGAAGCTAGAGGGCAAGAAGAGTCCCAAAGTCAAGCCCTACTGAGGACACTAGTTCACACAAGGAGAGGTGCCAGTATCCAAGGAGCCAAGTGCAAAGGCCAATATCCTAGTTGAGTCTAGAGTCATAAAAAAAGACAAGAACCAGGAGAGGCCCTGGACAGATCAGTGTGACCCCTCTGAAAGAGTAATGGCCCTGGGA